ACCCATAGGATCCTAAGTAGTTCCTTTTTGCGGTCTATATTTAGGATCCTAAAAGATAATCCCAAAAAGGAACTACGGAGGAGCCTAGGGGTCTAGGGTTTCGCGCGACAAAGCCCTACATACCCTAAACCGCTAAAGCTTTGAAGGGTTCGGGAGCAGGACTTAGGGTTTCGGATTAGAGCCCGTACAAAAGTGTGGAGGGAGGGGGCGGGGCTCGAATCCCCTAAACCCTAAACCCTAAACTCTAATCCCCTAAATTATAGGGCTTAGTGTTTAAGGGTTTTGGGTTTAGGCGCTGAGGGACTCGGGTTTAGTGGTTTAGGTTTAAGCGTTACGGGTTTAGGGTTTCGGGTTTAGGGGTTTAGGGTTTCCTGGCCTTCGTGCTGGCGTGGGCAGATGGCTCAAGCGCGAGCCAAGCGCTCCAGGAGGTGAAGGCCACGGACTCACCTGGATGAAACGCTTGTGTAGCTTAGGTTGAATGGCTCCTTTATGGGATCTACAAGGCTTCTCCAGCACCCTCTGGGCCTGTCCTGCCCTTCCTTGCCTTCCCTGCTCTTCCTTCCTTCTTACCCTTGCTGCCCTTCCCACTAACGCTCACAAGTCCTCTCCAGTCCAAAATGCACGCAACACCGCGGCGGGAGCAGGACTGCCACCCCAGACCATGCAGCGAACTAGTAAGTTTTGCAAGTGGAAAGGTTTAGGGTTTAGGGTTTAGGGTCCAGCACTGCAGTTAGAGCAAGTTTCGGGAGGCAGAAACACGCAGAACTCCGGCAGGAAGTGGATGCGCAGCCCCCAAAGATGAGCTGAACCCTGAAAACCCAAACTAGACCCCCTAGACTACGACCCTAACTAAACCCTAAACCCTAAACCCTAACCGCCCTAGACTACTATCCTAAACCCTATACCCTAACCCTAGCCCCCCTAGACTACTACCCTAAACCCTGAACCCTAACTCCAAGAAGGAGGGCCGCCTAGCTCGAGCTCCGACCCAAAACTCCGAAGCCCTTCGAACCCCACCTCCCAACCTCCCGTGGCCGAGGAAGTCTCCGGAATGATGAGAGCAATAAGAAAAAACGATGCTGATCCTAATAGTTGCTAGTAGTAACATCAGCAATAATAACATGACAAGAATCGTAGACACGTTAAGAAAGATACTAATCTAGTCATGACAATAATAGTAGAAATAACAATAATAATAGTAATAATAGTAATAGTAATCGTAGTAATGATAATAAAAAATAATAATGACATTAATGAGAATAAGAATCATCATCATAATAACAATAAGAAGAAGAACAGTCATCGTGTTATATAAATGTTATGATTGGGAGTGTTACTAATAGAAGTGGTGACCTGAGTCCTGATGAGACTGAACTTGTTTTTGTCATGCAAGTAGCGTTACTAGTCCAACATTTAGCATCAGCGGTGTTCATATGGCTGATATTCTAGCACTGACCAATACCCAAAGGGTCCTGTGTACTGTTTTGGGAGATACTTCCCTAAACCATGATAGTAATTCTTACATATAGCGACCCTACAGTCTACTACACAGGTACTTAGCACCCTTTGGGATAGCACTACCAAGCTCAACAAAGGATACTTTTGAAGCTCTCCGTTTCGAGTCACCCTAAACCCAAGAGGGTCTAGGGTGTAAAGGTTTATGGACCACTCCGGATAACCGATTGCGATGAGCGGCGGCGCGTCAATGAAGCCTGGCCTGAACCTGGCAATGGCAGCAAACCCGCCCTGGGGCGGTAGGGTATAGGGTCGTGCAGGCTTGGAACTACCGTCGATGTCCCCCCTTGCCATTCGCATTCTGAAAAAGCGACTTGCTTGAAACTTTGACCGCGCAACCCTGAGGGTCCATGTACCCAAACAGTATATACTGTGGCCTTAGCGTGGTATAGAGGTCCTTTGGGGCCTATATCTATCTATCTATCTATCTATCTATCTGTCTATGTATCTATATATATATACATACATACATACATACATACATACATACAGTTTCGGTAGCCGGTGCATGGACCCTTAGGGTAACTTCTCTCAAACCCCTAAAAGGCCCTAAACCCTAAGGGTAACTTCTCTCAATAGCATGGCAGGTGCTCGAGTCGATCCGATGGCAAATGTCTGTGGTCTCTGCTTTGCCCAGAGAAGGCAGGTGGCCAAGACCTTGCGGGTTTAGGGCTTTAGGGGTTTAGGGTTTTAAGGGTTAAGGGGTTTTAGGGTTTGGGGTTTTAGGATTTACGGGTTTAGGGCCAAGACCTTGCGGTGTGCGTGGCTCAGGTTTCGAGGTGGGGGGGCCAGGGTACGTGCTCCTTTGATCTTCCTGGAATCCAAACCGTACAGAATCCCTTAAAAAGACAACCTACAAACAACAACCCTACTGACCGTCAACCGGTAAACCCCGAAACCCTAAACCGGCCCTACTGCTCTTTCGTGAATGCTCGTGAAGGAGTCCTGCTGCAGACCAGGTCTGAGACCCCCGCGGCCAGCTGCGAGGCAAGCTGCGAGCGTGCCATGGCAGGAGGAAACGGAGCCCGCCTGGGCCCCCAGAGAGTCCAGTATCCCTGATTTAAGGTGTCCCTTTGTTGCGGATCCTGTAGCTAGGAGTGCAATGAACAGGATTCCACTAAATTCTGAAGCATCTCATCTTCTGCAGCCTTGATTGTCAGCGGTGCCCGAAATAACGAAACCCTAACCCCCAGGTACCTACTATATAGGGTACTAGAGCCCCTAGGGCCCTATATAGTAGGTACCTGGGAGGTTAGGGAAAGTCGGTAGATATTTGTATGCTTGTCGGCGCTTGCTGCCACCGGGTAGGTGTTGCCGTGTTCCTTTCCCGACAGTACCAAGACTGAAGTCGGAATGTGGCAAGGAGGAATGGCAGCACATAGACACGACAGTCCTGCTCTGGAAAAACCTACGAGTAGTTCAGTTAATTGGCCACACCTACCGACATGACAGATTTGTGCTGCGGTCGTCGACACGACTTTGTCTGGAGCCTGTTTGAGCGAATCTAAATATGGGGCGTTCCGAAACAGAAAGGAAAGGGTTGGGGGCCTGCTTTTCCCACACAGAGGATTTGCAGGATTTCTTGGATGCCGTGCCTATCGTATTGAAATACTTGTATCTTTTTTCATGTCTATTGTATTGACATACTCGTATCCAGACTGCTTCCTCCGAGAAAATAGGGGACCCTTCTGTAGTAATTACCTTATATAGATAATAGAATCCTTATTCTAAGGACCCCAGAATAAGGTACCCCGTCTTTTTGGAAACTGCCATATCGCATCACATTGTCCAACCAGCATGGCCGGACTCCGCTTCACAACTGTACTTGATCATAGACACCGCAGCCTCTTGCACGATGATATCAAAGTGTCCCGGATTCAGTCACTTAACCACAGGAAGGTGCACGAATTCTTTGGAAGTCTGCGGCTTCTGCGACAATAACTGTGCGGAGCCAGAGATGCGCACGATGCGACGCATCTTGCCATCAGCTTGGAATAAGTTGGTTTTGCAGGCGAGTCTTCTCTTCCGCGACCAGGCTGCCTCAACTCTATCCATCCATCTATAAGTATGACCCACTAGATATGCATGTCTTTAGCGTGTGCATATATACATTATATACACATATTAACACATTAATATGTACACAACATATGATGTTCGAGCTATAACATCGAACCTTCGATTCATAACAGAAAGTTGCGAAGCTCCGCCCAGTCGCCAAACCAGGGGCGGTAGACCAGCCAGCCATAGACTCCGAAGGCCACAACGATGAGTGCGGACGTGGTCCCGGCCGCAACAGGGGCTAAAGGCAGTGCGGAGCTCAGGATACCTGCTCTCTATACGGCGCGCTTATTAGGGCTCTAGGGGTTTCTGTATAGGGGGCTTCTATAACGGCTTTCTAGAACACGAAGGCAGTGTGGAGCAAAGGATGCCTGCTTTCGTTAGCAGAGCGTGCTGAGGCAAGAAGAGACCCATGAAGGGCTCGCTTTAAGGCTTGCTTTACAGAGCTCAAAGGCCTCACAAGGACACACCGTCACACCCTAAACTTTAAACCCCACCTGGACCCTTAAGAACATCCCTTTTGCGGGCTCCTTAGTATGATTTCCTTATAGAAGTCCTTAAAGAGGTAGGTTCGTTGGGGTCTAGGTAAACCCTAAACAAGCTAAATCATATAAACCAGAAACCCCAACGCCTAAAACCTTGTAAAGGACATAAAACCTTGAGTCGCCTCCACAGACGGTGGCCTGGGCCAAGTAGGCGGGCACCGTGGCCCACATCAGCCGGTTCCGGCTCGGGCTGACGCCTCTTACTTTGCTGAAAAGGAAACTTTAGGGTTTAGGGTTATGATTATAGGGCTTAGAGGGTTAGAGGGTTTAGGGCTTAGGGAGGGTTTCCTGGGACAGTAGGCTTTTCCGGTCTGGGGTTGAGGGTGGCGAACGGGAAAGGGCTTCTGAGGTGTTGAAGCTGCCGAGACACGGTACATGTAGCCATACCTGGGCTCGAAGGTCTTTCAAAAAAGGCAGTGCTTTCTGTGCGCTCAGTCTTCGTGTCCTGTCCCCTCCCTGTAGCCGTAGCCGTGTGCACTTCTTGATCAAACCTTGTTCTGATAAAACCCTGCTGCAGCCCCTGAACCTCTAAACCTCTAAACCCGTAAACCCTATAAAACCCTAAACTTCCCTAAACTTCCCTAAACCCTATAAGCCCTATAAACCCTATAAGCCCTATAACCCCTAAACCCGCTATATATAGCCCCTATAAACCCCCCTATAAACCCCCTCATTCCTGGCTTCCTATATCCCCGGAGATTACTCGAAGCGAGCTCCGACTCCTGAAGGACAGTGACGAAACCAAAGGAAAACCATTGGCGCGGGTTTAGGGCTTAGGGTTTAGGGTTTAGGAGTTTAGGGTTTAGGATTTAGGGTTTTAGGGTTTAGGGTTTAGGATTGGGGGATTTAGGGTTTGAAATCGGGGTCTCTTGGAGGTTCACAAAATTCGCCTCGGCCCCGGCCGCGGGTTTCCCCACCCCTTCCAGTGCTTACGCCCCCCGCTATTGGAGTTCGGGTTGGTAACCCCTGCGTTTAGGGATTCTGCTGGCCCACCGCCCTCTGCCCCCCCCCGCCCCCCCGCCCCCCTTCCTCGTCTCCTCCGTGCGGCGAGGGCTAGCTTACATCATTCGCTGATGCCAAAGCCTGGGAATTCTGGGGCTGTGTCTTGTACTTCGTTGCAAAGCTTGCTTCCCCGTCCAACATATGGGAGGTTGTCAGAGCCTCAGCATGAAAACAAACACTGACATCAACAAACATTCTGAAGCAAATGCGGCCATTCACTAAAGACCTCACCTGTGTGACCTACCCGCTGCTTAAGATCCCTCTTGGGTAGAACAGGACCCCAATATAGAGAACTAGCCATGTTGTATATAGCTTACAGTACTCACTACATGTTACATGTTACGTGTTCTGTATCATAACTTTGAGTTAGAGGTTGTGCAGTATAGATTACATGTTGTAGATTTTCTAGCTTGTATTGTATATACTGCACATTCAGCTTCTGAAAACCCTGATCGTGGTTTTGCTGAGCTCTTCGTCCGTACTTTGCCCGCTGTTCCCCGTGAAGCTGCTTAGCTAGACGACTATGCGATGGATTCAATACCTGGCTTTAAATAAGGTTGTCCGGACAAGATAACTGCTCTTCCTGTTCTACCTGCTCTCTTGCTTCTCCTTGTCCGCGCATGGCCGGGTTCTGAGCATAGGCCTGGAGCGTCTGGTGACAATCGAATCAGTCGCGCTCATCTTATTGAGCACCGACAAAGGTCACACTGCAAGTATGTTCTGTCTCGCTCTCTCTCTGTCTCTGTCTCTCTCTCTCTCTCTCTCTCTTTCTTTCATCAGGGTTGTCTCTCTCTCTCTCTCTCTGTTTCTATCTTTCTTGACTTGCCCGCCTCGCCCTCTACAACTCTTCTCTGCTCAGTGCCGCCAATCTGCGCCATGCGGGCAGGAACCCAGATCCAAGCGCAACACCCGGCAAAGATCGGATCCACAAACACGGCGCAGACCCACATTGCCAGGAAGAAAGCCCACGCCTCCGAAAACAACACAAACAAATAGGGTTCACTAGGGCCGGGGCCGGGGGTGAAGGGCTTCTTGTTCAACATCTCACGGTACAGGTAACACTGTAACACAGAAGCACGCGACACTGTCAGGAAACTCTGGACCAGAGTGCAAAATCCCATGAATAACCAAACATACGGATAGTGCTGCCTGCTCATACACGCACACAGACAGACAGATATATATATATATATCTCACACAGAGACGCGCGTCTACAAATTCACACATCACGACACGATGAACCACTTGCTTTCTCTTACCGATACATTACATGACACTATCTTTACGCTAAAACAAAGCCTACTACATTGTCCAACATTACAATACATCACATTACGTTGCCGTACCTTACATATATAGAAGGTGGCTACCATGGCGATGCTAATGATGAAGAGTTGATGATCATGGTAAGAGCGATGCCGTCGGCAATGGCGACGGCGACTAACCAGAAAAGACCAGGCAGCAGCAGCAACAATCAACAATGTAAGATATAGCATCTCACGCTGTCCTTGAAAACACTGTGCAAGGGCAACTTAACGACTGACGGCCAGAAGTCATCAGCAACATGACTGTCATCGTCATGATCGTCATCACCGTTGTGAGAACCGCCGCCATCACTGCCATCTTCTTGTCCTGTAATTCATACTCTCCGACGTCGTCATCAGCACTAAGACACAGCATCGAGAGGGGTTGGAATGGAATGACTGCTTGCCATCACCACGAATATAAGCGATGGAAGGAGAGTATCATTGAGTAAGAGGTCATTGTTGGCCAGGATAGTTGTTGCAATAGATTCAACACAATGCTAGCTAAGGGCTTTCAATGCACAGCATTCCACTCAGAGGTCCCTTTTCGGGTAATTATTATTTTGAAGACTTCGGGCTTTATATTCGTGTTCCTTGTTTCCTGACAATACATTCTTGATTCTTTCTGCAACAACCTACTGTAAGAACCTGATTAAGAAACCCTGGCCCTATAACCCCAATAAATTAGGGCTCATATTAAGAACCCTAATAAAGGCCCAGGGTTTCTTCCTATCCAAACTCTAAACCCTAAACCCCTAACCCCTAAACCTTTAACCATCTACCACGGGCCTGCTCCACTGAGGGCGCGCTTAATCCCCGACACGTTTCACACACCCAAGCCCCCGACAAGAAACGCACCACCCCCCGACCAAAACAAAACAAAAACCCACGACAAAGAATAACAATCCCCGCTTCGAACCAGAGCACACGACCGCGTTTTTCCTGTGGAATCGTCCGGTTCATTGCAAAAACAAGGTCGTTTGCTCCTTTTCGGCACCCACACACCCCGGACTCGACCCGTCGCCGGACCCCCGCTCCTGCTCCGAACCAGAGCAAACCACCGCCTTTTTCCTCTGTGGAATCGTCCGGCTCATTGCGAAAACGAGGTCGTTGCTCCTCTTCGGCACTCGGCACCCTCACACCCCGGACTCGACCCGTCGCCGGGACCCCGCTCCCGCTCCAAGTTTTGCTGTGGAATCGTCCGGTTCATGGCGAGAAAACAAGTCGTTTGCTCTGTTTCGGCACCCTCACACCCCGGACTTTTGCTGTGGAATGGTCCGGTTCATTGCGAAAACGAAGTCGTTTGCTCTTTTTCGGCACCCTCACACCCCGGACTCGACCCGCCGCCCCCCGAGATCGCCTGAGGGCCCCGAAAACGAGCAAACGACCTCGTTTTCGCAACAAACCGGAGGATTTCACAGCAAAAACGCGGTCGTTTGCTCTGGTTCGAAGCGGGAAGGTCCGGGATCGGATCGCATCCGGAAAGGTCCGGCGTGAGGGTCCCGAGATCGAAGGAGCAAGCGACCTCCTTTTCGCAACCAATGGG